ATAGATAGATAGATAGATAGATAGATAGATAGATAGATAGATAGATAGATAGATAGATGTCTTTCTCACCTGGCCTTGACTCAGAATGTACAGTTTGTCTCCTGGATTTCCATTTTGAATGATATAATCACCATCTCTGTAGTGAGACTAAGACGAAGATGTATATGGATATAGAGAAAAACATTGCATGTACTGAAAATGTAAGTTTTTATATCAATATTTTTTAGATTTGTGATTAACTGGTGCAAACACACTAAAAATGGATTTGATCAAGCTATAGGCAGTGCTTTGACCTTCAAGTTAAAGGTTTATTGATCACATGCTGATCAGGTAGCAGTGAAATATGATGATGATGTTCAGTCATACGCACCTCCTCCAGTGCATCAGACACTTTCACGAGAACATCCTCTGGAAACACACAGAACAGTGCCACACTAACACACACAGACAAACGAGAGTCAGGAAACCAGACAGCTACAATCACTATCAGCGTAAATCACAGGAAATTACATCTGAGCTGCAGTGCTAAATGAATGTTTTTCAGTAAACTAACAAAGTGGAAATATGTTAAAACACACTTTAGACACATAATTATATATATAAAAAAATACTACTTATAAGATTAACAGAATACACATTTTTTTATACCTTTAACTCTTACAAACTTTCATCACCATTACATTTTATTGAATATATGAATCAATAAAACCAAATTCAATCTAGATGTTGCATTTATTAAAATTAACACGTTTTCACTGTCCACATGTTTTAAGCATTTTTGAAAAAGTGCAGAATTTGTTAACTGTTAATTGTTGTTAACTGCACTTTCTGTTCAAACCTGTTGTTCTTTGACATTTTCCCTGAAATACTTGTATGATCCTTCTGACATATTATTTCAGGTCATGACATGAACGTTTCTGTACAGAAGGTTCACGCTTAATCTACATCCATCAAGCTCAATATTTCAGCTCTGTTATAGAGGAAAATATCATAGTGATCAAATAATGTTCATGGCACAAAGCATAAGAATAACGTATTGATCGTTTTAAGCCATTTTTGACAACCTACTATTATTAAACCCCAAAACAGTTTGAATGTAACAGGGTTGACAAAGACATCTATGGCTGTTTATTTATATTATATGTATACATTTCAAATCTAATGTGATGGAGTAAAAGAATGTGATGCTTTGGGGTCAAAATTGATGAATTGCATTTTATTGTATTTGAAGGGGTATAACCGCATGTTTAGGATTAAAGTTTTATGAATCAGCCAATGAAAAACCTGTTGATCACTTATCTGAATTATGGGGGCATGTTAATTTTAATTATTAACTAAACTAAAATGAAAAGCACCAAAAATAAAATAAACATTAACTGAAAGAAAATTACTATATATATATATATATATATATATATATATATATACACTTATTTTATCTTTTTATTTTAGCTAGAGTAGTTGTCAAACAACATTTCTCATTTTCATTAAGATTTACTTTATGTACTAAAATAATTAAAACTGAAAAAACATCACGATATAGACATATTTTTATTAAAACTTTAACTAAATTTAAAAATTTTTTTAAATGTTTCAAAACATACATTTCAAAAAGCTATTTAAAAAATACCTAAGCTGAAGGCAAGAATATGCATACATAAAAATATATTTCCTCATTTATTTATAATCTGAGAGGGACATAAGTGTGTCTTGTAAAGGTCTATGTGAGTATGGTAATGGTGGCATTAACCTGCGCAGGATATGCAGAGACTGTGTTATAGCGGCGAGGCCATTCCTCTGCATGATCCTCTGAAACACCTGACCCTCCATCACCCACAGCCTGCTGCTCACCAGAGCTGCACACAACACACACACACACACACACACACACACACACACACACACACACACACACAGAGCAGAGTCTGAGAAGAACTGGATTTCCAACAGTCTGTGAACTCACGGCTCTTTGTTTTGGTGAAACACCAAATACGTGATTTTTTCCTGATGTCTGTGAAGAAGAGAGATCAAAGGAGAGAGCGAGGCAGTTCGGCTTTGGTGGATAGACTTATAAAGACAGAAAGAGAAATTGATATGGACAGTGTGAACTGTGTAAGACAAACAAGTTTGATATCCCTGTGGAAAACAGCAGAATAACATGGATTGAGGCTGATCTGTCATTCTGTTCACCAGCAAACATTATCTCTAAACTCTCATTAATATATTTAAGCTAACATGGGATAAATTAAATTTCCAGGGCAATATATGAGTTGCCAGGCAATGACAATCATTGTTTGTTTCTTATATCAGGTCCAAAGGCCCCTGTGACGTTTATATAACAGCTTACATAAACAAAGATCTAATCGTATGATGTTTTATAAAAACACCGGTGAGTTGTTTGACCACGAGACCAATAATATTATATAAAAAAGTTAAAAAGAACAGCATTTATTCAAAATAGAAATCTTTTGTGACAATAAACAATACCGTTCAAAAGTTTTTTTCAAAAGTATTTTTTATTTTTGTTTTATGTTTTTGTTATATTGTCAGAAAAGATTTCTATTTTGAATAAATGCTGTTCTTTTTAACTTTTTATTCATCAAAGAATCCTCATAAAAGTATCACCGGTTCCAAAAAAAATATTAAGCAGCAAACAGTTTCCAACACTGATAATAAATCAGCATATTAGGATGATTTCTGAAGGATCATGTGACACTGAAGACTGGAGTAATGATGCTGAAAATTCACCTTTGATCACAGCAATAAATTACATTTTAAAGCGTATTAAAAGAGAAAACCGTAATTGTATGTATAGTTGAAAAAAGTACTTTGTGTTTCAGGATTTCTGCCTCAGGTGACTCTAAAACACACTGAAAAATTATCCTCCTGAATAGTGACCAGCTTCTACCAAGTTACAAATTTTCTAAAAAAATAGGGAAGAGCTGAAAATAGAGTTCACCCCAAACTCATTCTCTATCACTTCCTGAGACTCTCTTGAATTAGTAATGACACCGATTAATTGACTGTGCTGTCGTTGGGAAGAGAAATACTGCAATCTGTCTCCTCTGCTCTCCCCTGCTACCTCTGTCTACCTCTCTTTTATCTCCTGTCCTTTCCTCTGCGGAATAGCCGAGAATTTGAGATTAATCGTTACACAGAAAAAAAAATCCAGAACTGGACTGCAATAAACATCATGAACACAGATATGACTCAGACAATGAAATGCAATCTTTTGGTCAATTTAAATTTTAGAAACCATTGCAGAGCGACACACACACAAACACACACGGATGGATAAATAAACAACTATTTTGATGGTAATTTATGGATTTTCTCATCTTTTAGTGAAGGGCATGCCTCATGTGTTGTAAAACATCTGTCCACTGGGTTTTAATTAGAGGAAAACATTCAGTTTAACAATGTTTAATGGGGAAATATGTTAAACCCAACCCAGTCTTCTCACGTTTTGATTCCTGACATCTTGTTGCAACCATTTTTTTTTTTTTCAATTCAACCTGATTGTTAAACACAAAAACGTTATTTATCCACTTTTCAAGGTTCTCCCATTTTAGAAAAGCATAACAGCATCATTTTGCAATGTGAGAAGCAGAAAAAATCAAAGAAAATTATTTCAAAGCAAGCATATTTTATTTTAATACAGTTTCAAGGCCAGATCAAGCCAAAAAGCCAAACAGGTTTGATGAGCGGGTATTATTATTATTATTTAAATCATGCTTAACTAAATGATTGAAATGTCTGTGATATCTGTAGAGGTGCCTTTAAAGTGTTCACTGGGTTTTAAAGAGATTGTTTCAAACATATTGTTCATTATGCAACGCTCTGAAATATAGTATCATATTATAATAATTTATATATTAATATTGTAATATTGTTGCAGTGCTCATCTTGTTGCTAAACCAATTAACTACATTATAGGCAGGTTCCACTAACATTTACAAACCACAAAGTGTCCAAATATCTTCTGTCCTCATTTTGAACAGCATACTGTATGGAGTGTTATAATGAAAAACATTTTTCTCTCTCTTCCATTAAAATGAATGCCGCTTGATGTAATACGCTTCGCAGCTAACAGGGAATATTCTCAGAATATTGTCAGGGTTCTATTAAATTTACAAACAGACATTCTTCCAGTAACGTTAATAGAATATTCATTCAAGGTTATCTGGTCTTCAATAATGTTCTCAAAACATTAACACAGAAAATTTTTTTATACATCATTCATTAAATGTTTTTTGAAACATTTTAGCCTTTTTGTTGGACGTTCAGCTGACATTTTTTAAATGTTACTACTGGTTCATTAAGAATCAACATTTCCATAATGTTTGCAAAATTATACCATTTTTATACAATAGATGTTTTGCACATTCAGAGAACATTCTGAAATAACTTTTTTTTTTTTTTCATTGGAACATTAGCAAAATGTTCGAACATATGTGACCCTGTCTGGGAAATCTAGGCTACAGTTTTAAAATCTAATTAGGAGATAAAAAGCATCAAAATTTGATTTCAACCGTTAATTTTAATCTATGACATGGTCTTAGTCAATTAAAGATATCAATGCTACATTTTCACAGAATGTTCTTTACAATATGAAGGATGACTTTATGTAGAAAACAGTAAATCACAAAAAAAAAAAAAAAACTTTAGCTGGGTTTTCAGAGGCAAGGTCACATATATTTGTTAACTGGTTGATTTTTAGCTTTTCTAATGCAATGACATTTACTTGTTTAAGTATGACTTTAATGCCACTGTAATATTGCATTTCCATGAATTTAATTAAGGTCACAAAGCACACATTTTAAAATGCAAGTCACAGAATCCGAGATCTACAAGCAATGGAGGACACTGTGTTTATCTTTTACTTAGACATATAGAGACGATCAGGTTAGAGAGTAAGGATCAGAAAAGAAACAGAGAGATGAAAAAGAGGAGCAAAGTGAAAAAAAGAAAGCAATTTCAAGCTGTCACCAAGCACAAGACCTGAACAAAGCTGAAGAAAAGAGTTGGGGAAAGCTTGATCAGAGGCTTGAAATAAAAGGGGTGAGAGGGAAGAAATAGTCTGAAACTTCAGAAAGAGAGGCTGATAGGGATAGGATATCAACTGAAAGATGAAAACGACACACAATCAAGGCAGACATTCCCTGTAGAAGAAAAGAAACATCTGGAAAATGATCTAACTTGATTGGATCCTCCGTTCACTTTCAATCCATCTTTTTTAGCCTATTCGCTTTCTTTCAGACTTTATTCCTTGCTTTTTTCATTCCATGTCTTGCTATGACCCTCTATTAAAATTAATAGGTCAAGCTGATGCCCCTGTGGCACAGGCTGGACTCAAGAGAGGATGTGGAATAAGCGAGAGAAGAGGTGTTGAGAGAGTCATAAATCAAAGCATGCTATAGGGGATACACCTCAGAAATGAACGTTAATTCATCTATCTGACAAAGATATATTCTTTAGGGTTGGAGGAAGACATAAAAAAGACATTTCTTTACAGAAAACATGCAACTAACATGTTTAGCATGTTCATTTAAAAAAAAATCTCACAATGACATAACTACTTACACCTTGCATTTTGATTTTTTTCATAATTGCGACTTATTTCTCACAATTGTGACAATATATCTTGCAATATGACGTCATATCGAACTATGCGATTCCCACAATTGCGACTTTTTTTCTAGTAATTGTGACTATATCTCACAACTGATTTTGTTTCGCAGTGACATTATTTGTAGTAATTGTGACTACAACTCACAATGTAATTGTTGCATTGTAACTGTATATTTCGCAACTGCAACTTTATATCTCACAATTACAACTTTGTTTCACACTGTAACTACATGTAACTATAACTATAACACTGTAACTACAATTGCAACTGTATTTGTAGTAATAATTGTGACTTTGTATCTCGCAATGTCATTTATATCTTACAATTTCAGCATTGTTTCACATGCACTGTAACTGTATATTTCATAATTGTGACTTTATATCTCGCAATTATGATTGTGTTTCGCATTGTAACTTTATATTTCACAATTGCGACTTTATTTGTAGTAACTGTAACTTTATATCTTGTAATGTCACTTTATATGTCACAATTTTGGCATTGTGTTTTGCAATCTAACTGTATATTTCATAATTGCAACTTTATATCTCGCAATTACGACTTGTGGTTTACAATTGTAACGTTATATTTCACAACTGTGACTTTATTTGTAATAACTGTAACTTTATATCCCGTAATGTCACTTTAAATGTCACAATTTTGCAATTGTGTTTTGCAATCTAACTGTATATTTCAGAATTGCAACTTTATATCTCACAATTACGACTTGTGGTTTACAATTGCAACTTTATATTTTACAATTGTTACTTTATTTGTATTAATTTCGATTTTATGTCTCACAGTGTCATTTTATATCTCACATTTGCGACTTTGTGTTTTGCAATGTACTGTAACTGTATTTGTCACAATTCTGACTTTATTTGCTTACTTTTATTTTATTTTACATTTCCCAATTGCAACTTTATATCTCACGATTACAACTTTGTGTTTCACACTGTAACTACATGTAACTATAACTATAACACTGTAACTACAATTGCAACTTTATTTGTAGTAATAATTGTGACTTTGTATCTCACAATGTCATTCATATCTTACAATTTCAGCATTGTTTCACATGCACTGTAACTGTATATTTCATAATTGTGACTTTATATCTCGCAATTATGACTGTTTCGCATTGTAACTTTATATTTCACAATTGCGACTTTATTTGTAGTAACTGTAACTTTAAGTCTCACATTGTCATTTTATATCTCACAT